TCCTCCTCCTCCTCCTCCTCCTCCTCCTCTCCTCCTCATCCTCCTCCTCCTCCTCCTCCTCCTCCTCCTCCTTCCTCCTCCTCCTCCTCCTCCTCCTCCTCATCCTCCTCCTCCTCCTCCCTCCTCCTCCTCCCTCCCTCCCTCCCCTCCCTCCCTCCCTCCCTCCCTCCACTCCCTCCCTCCCTCCCTCCCTCCCTCCCTCCCTCCCTCCCTCTCTCCTCCCTCCTTCCTTCCCTCCCTCCCTCCTCCCTTCCTCCTCCCTCCTCCCTCCAAGACCCGAGACAACAACGGACCAGTACCATGCCCGAGAGGCAAATGCCCTTGGAAGGAGGCCTTTGCAAACATAACGGACACAACTGGTGCAACAACATGGAAAGACGAGATGCCGCGCAACGAAACCAACGGTTCATAAACGTGAACGCTTGTTGTGTATAATATTTCCATTTCGGACAACGTGCACCCTATCGCACGTGTGTCCGGACTAAAAACAAAAAAACAACATTTTGTCCGGACTAAAAAAATAGTCCCGACATCCCAGATAAAACCCGTACTAAAAAAACAGTCCTTTCAGACCTCTGGGTTAGTAGTACTGCACCTACCACCCCTACTACTAACATGGCGATTACCACTGCTAGTACTTGTGCTAGTGCTACTAGTACGGCTACGACTGCGACTACTACTACTACTACTACTACTACTACTACTACCACTACTACTTCTACGGCCACTACTTCTACTTCTGCGACGACTGAGCCTGCTGAGCCTTCTTGCGCCACGTCTACTGCTATTACTACTACTGCGACTACTGCTACTACGACTACTACTACTACTACTACGACTACGACGACTACTACTACGACGACTACCACTTTTTAACTAACTTCTACGGCTAGGACTACCAGTGCCAGTACTATTGTTACCTAACAGCGAAGACTGATAGGTTTCTAGTTGGCTCAAAAGAGCTCACAGATCACTCCACAGGGGGGTCCGGGCAGGAGTTGGGGAGTTGCCGGGCGGCAGGGTGCCGGGCTCGTTTTTCACCAACAGTCACACACTTCGTGCTCTTCGACTTCCCAGAACTCCATTCCCAGGCCACATTCGGAAAAACCGCATGTTGCAAGCACCCACTGTGCTCTTCGAGTCCCAGAACGCCATTCCCCGGGCCACATTTAGAATAACCGGATGCAACAGTCACAACTTCGTGCTCTTCGGGACTTCCCAGAACTCCATTCCCGGGTACATTCTGGAGGGCCGGATGCAACAGTCACCACTTCGTGGCTCTTCGAGTCCCAGAATTCCATTCCCCGGGGCCACATTTTTGGCCCTGCCCGGAGCCAACTGTAGGCCTACTTCGTGTCTTCGAGTTCCCAGAACTCCATTCCCGGGCCACATTTTTGAATGCCCGGAGCCAACTGTAGGCCACTTCGTGCTCTTCGAGTTCCCAGAACTCCATTCCCGGGCCACATTTTGAATGCCCGTAGCCAACTGTAGGCAACTTCGTGCTCTTCGACTTCCCAGAACTCCAATTCCTGGGCCACATTTTCAGCAGGGGCAAGAGCACGACGAGGAGGAGGACGAGCAAGACCAGGATGACGAGGACGAGCAGGAGCAGGACGAGGAGCAGGAGGAGCAGGAGAAGAAGGACGAGCAGGAGGAGGAGGAGGACGAGCAGGAGGAGGAGGACGACACCTAGGAGAGGAGGCACGCACCAAGGAAGGAGAGGGAGGAGGAGGAGGAGGAGGAGTGGGAGGGGGCTCGAGTTACCAGGAGGAGGAGGAGGAGGAGGAGGAGGAGGAGGAAAGAGGAGGAGGAGGGAGGAGGACGAGGTACGATGAGGAGGAGGAGGAGGAGGGGGGGGGGGAGAGTACCAGGAGGAGGAGAACCGAGGGACCACCAGGAGGAGGAGGAGGCGGGGGAGGAGGAGGAGGAGGAGGAGGAGGAGGAGGAGGAGAGAACACCAGGAGGAGAAGGACGAGCAAGACGAGGAGGACGAGAACGAGGACGACCAGGAAGAGGAGGAGGAGGAGGAGGAGGAGGAGGGGAGGGGGAGGACTACCAGGAGGAGGAGGAGGAGGAGGAGGAGGAGGAAGAGGAGGAGGAGGAGGACGAGGAGGAGGAGGAGGAGGAGGACGAGGAGGAGGAGGGGGGGGGAGAGCACCAGGAGGAGGAGAACGAGGACCACCAGGAGGAGGAGGAGGAGGAGGAGGAGGAGGAGGAGAGAGCACCAGGAGGAGGAGGACGAGCAAGACGAGGAGGACGAGAACGAGGACGACCAGGAGGAAGAGGAGGAGGAGGAGGAGGAGGAGCAGGAGAAAGAGGAGGAGGAGGAGGAGGCAGGCTGAGGCTGAGGCTGTGACTGCGACTGCCGTTGCCGCTGCGACTGTCATCGCGAATGCGTCTACGACTGCGAGAACAGCAGAATTCGACAACTGGATTTTCATCTGAGTCTTAAGGGGAATGCTTTCAGATATGTTTCTACACATCGCTGTTAGGTTGCTTTGCCGGGATAATTATCTTTTTCCGTAATACGACTACTACTCCCGCTACACGTAGGACTACCATTTCTATTGTTATTATTTGGCTCGTAGTGCTAATTTCCCTCTGCCTACTATTACGACTACTGCTACTACGACGACGACTACTAGTATTACTACTGCTGCTACTACTACTACTACTACTACTACTACTACTACTACTACTACTACTACCACTGCTATGACTACTACTCTTACTACAACGACGAGTACGACTACTACTACTACTGCTACTTCTACTACTACTGCTACTACTACTATCACTTCTACTCTGACGACTACTCCCACGACCACGCCGACTATTACCGCCATGACTTTGGCTACTGTTGCGAGTGTTCTTGCTACGTCTATGATTAATACTACGTCTACGGATATTACTTCTACTTGTATTATTAGCCCTACTACAGCTACTAGTACGACTACTACTACTGCTAGTACGGCCACTACTACGATTGTTACTACTGTTACTACTGGTACCACTACTACTACTACTACTACGACTTCGAGTAGTACCACTACTAATGCTGCTACTACTACTACTACGACTACTGCTATTATTACTACTACTACTACTACACCTGCTGCTGCTACTACTACTACTACTACACTACTACTGCGACGACTACTACTACTACTACTACTACTACTACTACTACTACTACTGCTACTACTACTACTACTACTACTGCTGCTACTACTACTACTACTACTACTACTACTACTACTCGTGCTCTTTCAAGGAAGCCTTGCCGTATCGAGCAGGACAGCGCTATACCATACAACGTGACACGCTTTCGCGCACACGAGTTGCAGGAAGAAGAAGGTGATATCCCCCTCGGGCCCCTACTACAACTGCTGCTACTACTACTACTACTACCACTACTACTACTACTACTACTACTACTACTACTGCTGCTACTACTACTACTACTACTACTGCTACTACTACTACTACTACGACGTTCTACGATTTTTTCTGCAGCAGCAGAAATTTCCACTACTACTACTACTACTACGACGACTACTACTACTACAGGCATTACGTCTATTACTACTACTACTGCTGCTGCTACTACTACTACTGCTACTACTACTACTACTACTACTACTACTATGGCTACTACTATGGCTACTACTATCACTACTACTACTACTACTACTACTACTACTACCACCACCGCCACTACTACGACGACGACGACGACGACGACGACGACGACGACGACGACGACGACGACGACGACGACGACGACGACGACGACGACGACGACGACGACGACTACTACTACTACTACTACTACTACTACTACTACTCGTGCTCTTTCAAGGAAACCTTGCCATATCGAGCAGGACAGCGCTATACCATACAACGTGACACGCTTTCGCGCACACGAGTTGCAGGAAGAAGAAGGTGATATCCCCCTCGGGCCCCAAACATTAGTATCCCCACCTTATGATCATCAGGGGCATAGGGTTATGAGGCGTAGATTCGTGAGTATTTGACGGTGTCAGCCAAATCATCATATTCTGCCTCTGGCGACGGCCTGCACATTGTCTCGACTCATGCAACAAGGGGCCCCTGGAAACCCAAACCTTTTCCGCAGGGCCGACTTCCATCATGGGTAGATTTAGCTAGTTGTCGGTCTGGGGCCCGAGAAGGGCCCCCGAGGCCCCAGACGGCGAAGTTTTCGCCGCCGTGAATTTTTCCCACGATGCGAGGAGGTTTTTTGGTCGACGGATCCCTGCCCGTTGGGTTCATCGATAAACAAGAACAATCCTTGGGATGTTAGTATCAGCGTCGGCGCTGATATATCCGTCGTCGAAAACCAACCGTATCCTGCACAATCCCAACATGTGCCGTTCGGTCTGGTGAGATTTGAGTCAGCCGTTGGCTCATTCCGGGCTAGTCCGGCTTAGCCGGCGAATCGTTATTACGAACATTTCCTTGGATTTTTGGCGGCACGCAAAGGGGTGGCGCGACGAGGTGGCCTTCAAAGCAGGCGCGATGTTTATTAGAAGGCGGGGGCCTTCTTAGAAGAACCCAGAAGGCGGGGACCTTCTTAGATGTCTTTGGGCGCTTCTCAGGAGGCCCATGCCTCCTTATGAGCCTTTCTGCCTTCTTCGAACACCCCCCATCCCCAGCGCCACCGCGTTGCGCGCGCCGCCAAATCGGGCTGAACCGTAATCGCTCGTTCGCAGGACAGCCGGCCTCTGCTGACCCTTCTGGGCCGCCTCCGCGCAGCCGGGGCGGCGGGCGCGTGCAGGGCCACGACGCAGTGCAGAGGAGGAGGAGGAGGACGACGACGACGACTAAGTGACTAGGAGGAGCAGGAGGAGAAACAGGAAAAAGAGCATGAGGACGAGGAGGACGAAGAGGAGCAGGAGGAGGAGGACGAGGAGGACGAGGAGGAGGAGGAGGAAGCCTCCCAGACGCCCAGGGGTTGCGCCCCCCTCCCACGCGCCGAGGAGCTGCAAGCCCTTCGCCGCCAGCGCGACGACGAGCTCCGACCCGCGGGCGTCGGGCGCGGCGGCGGGCGCGGCAACACCACCGCAGCACCGCCGCGGCACCTCGTCCCCCACGTCGTCGTGTCCCGTGTCCCTGCTGAGAAGCAGGATGATCACCGTTGACGAGGATGGAGAGGGAGGTGGCGGAGGCGGAGGCGGAGGCGGAAGCGGAGGAGGAGGAGGGAGGAGGAGGAGGAGGAGGAGGAAGAGGAGGAGGAGGAGGAGGAGGAGGAGGAGGGGAGGAGGAGGAGGAGGAGGAGGAGGAGGAGGAGGAGGGAGGAGGAGGAGGAGGAGGAGGAGGAGGAGGAGGGGGGGAGCAGCAGCAGCAGCAGCAACAGCAGGAGATGGGCAAGAAGGGGGGGACGAGTTTGTTTATGGGGAGGCGAAGAGCCGGAGTTGGAAGAGGAGCAGGAGGAGGACAGAAGGAAATGGGAAGCTGGGGCTGGAAGAGGAGGACGAGGAGCAGGAGGAGGAGGAACAAGAGGAGAAGAGGAGGAGGAAGAGGAGGAGGAAGAGGACCGATGTACACCCAAGAGTCATCAACGATGTTGGAATTAACCGTCCCTCCAAGCTCCCACGACATAGGCCCCTACAGCGGTTCATTTCCATTGAGGGAACTGCCTCGTTGGAAGACAACCGTTTGAAGATCCTGAAGCATACCAAAACATTGCTCTCGGGATTTCAACGCCACGTGTCAACCTCACCGCTGCGTTCTGGCGATCGGGAATCGTTGCACAAATCAACATCGCGAATCAATATAATCGCTGCACCAACATAATTCTGAATCCCACCAACAAAACATGGTTGGTACGTTGATCATGGGAAACAGTAGAACTCTTACACATTTCTGTGACGAAGGTGCGCGGCGCTAGGGCGAGAGCCACATTTTGCAAAGGAACCGCCCTCAATCCGTGAAGCTCTTGCAAATGTTTACAACGAATGTGCGTGGCGCTACGGCGAAAACCACATTTTGAAAACCACCCGGCCTCAATCCGTGAAGCTCCTGCAACTGTTTAAAAAGAGTGTGCGCGGCGCTGAGGCGAGAGCCAGATTTTGAAAGCCACCCGTTTCAATGCGTGAAGCTCGTGCAACTGTTTACAACGAATGTGCGTGGCGCTACGGCGAAAGCCACATTTTGAAAACCACCCGCCCTCAATCCGTGAAGCTCCTGTAACTGTTTAAAAAGAGTGTGCGCGGCGCTGAGGCGAGAGCCAGATTTTGAAAGCCACCCGCTTCAATGCGTGAAGCTTTTGCAACTGTTTATAAAGAGTGTGCGCGGCGCGAAGGCGAGAGCCATATTTTGAAAACCACCCGCCTTCAATCCGTGAAACCGTTGCAAAATTGGACAACGAATGTGCGCGGCGCTAAGGCGAGAGCCACATTTTGAAAACGACCCGCCCTCCATCGACGAATCTGTTGTCACTTTTAAAGCTTCAGAGTCATAGATGGTGAGGGAGTCCCAGGCGAAACGCCTGGCCCGCCCTAAAAATTGGCTTTTGGGTGCGACAGGGACGAGTTACGTCAAAGGAGAAGGAATGGGGGTGGAGGAGGAGGAGGAGGAGGAGGAGGAGGAGGAGAGGGAGGAGGAGGAGGAGAGGGAGGAGGAGGAGGAGGTGGAGGAGGAGGAGTTGGTACTCAAGGGGCTGGGCGTGAACCAGCCTGGGACCAATGGATGCGATCACGTGAAGGGGAGGAGGAGAGGAGGAGAAGAAGGGGGCAAGAGAAACTGCAGGATGAGGAAACGCCCGAGAAACACGGGGCCCACGCCGCAAGGCGCACGAAGGGCGTGGAATTCAGCACGGGGCAGAGGGGAGGGGTGCAACCACTACGAGATGGAGACGTGAGCAGAGACGAGGCGCACACGGCAGGAACATCAACGTCGGGCCGCGGGGCGAGGCAGCGAAGAGGGCGCGCGGTGAGTTCTGCACGCGCCGCGCTCTGGCTCAGGGCTCTCTCGGCCTGGCCGATGCAGGCGTCCGGCGACGCACCCACGAGGGCTGCCAGCAGGACTTCTGGGAGAGGCCGGGGCCCTCAGCCTCGCGAGAAGGCGTGGCCCTTCGCCGGAGGGGCCTCTGGTTCCAGCACTGGAGCGTCTTGGCTCGCCTACAGCCCTACCTGGCAGTGTTCTAAGAACCTATTTGTTGTGGCTTCCCCGACAGGGCCTTAGAACATTTCTGGCGGAGTCTGTTTTGTTTTCTGAGATCGGGTTGATGTTCTAAGAACATTGTTTTTGTTCTTAGAACATTTTGGGGTTCTCAGAACATTTCTTGGTAGGACTAGGAGTGCCGGGACGGTTGGTCCCTGCTCAACTGGTGGTGCAGGCCCGCGGGGGTCGCCAGATCGCGGCCTGCGATGCGAGCTGCGGCTCGTGCGCTTGGGGTTGGCTTCCTGGCGCGCCCTCCCCCCCCTCAGTTCTCGCATCGGGGCCGGCCAAGAGAAGGGGGATGACTGGGGGGGGTGGATCTCATGGCGGGGGCCATGAGATCTTCCCAGATCTCATGACGCCTCTCCTGGGACGCGCACGTGCCGCCGGCCATGATCTGCTCCACCCCCCTCTCTTTGGCGCCCCCCTTCTTGTGGACGCCCCCGGGCGCACCAGAGGTCACTCTCGCGCAGGGCTACCCTCTGCGTGCAGCTAGTTCCCATCCCACCCAGATCGGCGGGCCTCAGGAGGGAAAAAAACACACAGACGCAATTAATCGTCGATTCCCCAGAAAATATGGGAATATCTGGGAATTGACAACAACTTAGAAAATTAGGGAAAATATGGGGAATCCTGTTATATTTGTGTGTCCCAAGGGCTCTTCAGGGCCGCTCTCCTTGTCCATGCTGCCGCGCCTCCTGGGAGGAGGATTTGGGCTCGGGAGCTCTGCAGGAGGGGGCTCGAGAGGCGAGCTCGGGAGGAGGGTCGAGGATAGGGGTTCGGCAGCAAATCATGGGAGCCTCGTGTACACTCTTAATTCCGTCTTTAGCATCGACTCGCGTCGATCAGCGTCTTGGAGTCGATGAGATAGCGCCGATTCAGCGTCGAGTAGCGTCGACTAGCGTCGATTAGCGTAGGTTCGCAAGAGCCGACTACATGGTATGGGAGGCTCCCATGTGTTGCCACCGAAGGGGGGCAGAGGCTTGTGGGCGTGGTTGGCACAAGTTCTGGCTCCAGCTCCTGGGGCCTCCAGGGGACCTCCCGAGGCTGCGAGGAGGACCGTAGCTCATGCTGGAGAGCCCTCATTCCCACTGCTGGATGCGCCTCCGACGAACGACGCCGCGTTGGTCGCGAGGGAGCATACTGCATCGAAACTGGCCCCATGGCTCGCCATTCCCGCGTGAGGATCGAAGAAGAAGAGACACCATAAACACAAACTTTTGGCGCTCCGCGCGGATTTCTTGGATCGGCTCTGGGCCCCCCCAGCGCGTGCCACGGAGGGGTCTGGCGCAGATCCAAGAAATCCGCGCGGAACGCGAAAAGCTTATGATTATTGCATGTGCTCCTTTTCTTCGGAGAAGGACTCAGACCTTCGACGTCTTCATCTTCAACCCCGGGTCCTCAGAAGTCTCGACCCTGCCCGTGGACCGGCTGCTCATCCCGGTTCGGTGCTGGATGGCCCCACGTGTCCTGGAAACAGCTCCTGGAAGTCGAAAGCGGCGCAGACGCCTCGTCATTTTTTGCCTCCAGTCCGCCAGAAGACTGGCACTGCGAACAAGAGCTCGAGTCCAAAACGTCGGGGGGAGGCACAATTTGTCAGCTTTTGCCCCCAGCATTCCACAGATCGCGACCGCGAGATGCCCGCGTGACACAGGGGGAGATCCTCCTTGACCTGGGAGCGGTACGACGCATGGTCTCCCGGGCCTCAGAGCCGAGGAACTACATAGCGCTACCGCGTTGGAGCGAGGCCTTCCAAGGAGTCCAAGCGCTCTCAGACGCAGCACGTGCCGTGTTCCAAGCGTCCGTGCGAGCACGATGCTTGTTGGCTCCGTTCTGGCGACCGTTGCACACGCACTGCGAGCGTGTGCAAGCGTTGGCCACCGTTCTGGCGACGAACGTGCCGCACCAGGCGCACGTCTTGAGTTTGCGTGTGGAGCTCCGTGTCCACACGCTATACGGACTGCGTGTTTCGAACAAAGAAAACAACACCATGAACATAAACTGTTTGCGCCCCGCGCGGATTGCTTGGCAGAGTTCACATGCCACCGCCCCGACCACTTCGGTCACCCCTCTCACGTTCGTGGCCCCCTGGGGAGCTCTATCGAAGGCGCCGCCCCGACCACTTCGGCGCACCCCTCACGCGTTCCGGGGGCTCCACTGAAGGCCCCAGTGGCAGGGCTCCGATGCCGCCGCCCCGACCGTTTCGGCACACCCCTCGCGAGTTTCGTGGCCCGCTGGGGAGTTCCACCGAAGGCACCAGTGGCAGGGTTCATCGTGCCATTCTTGACCTAGCGGTCTTCCGTCGGACCCGCGAGAGCACGCAGATCCTGGCGGGGTGGCGGCTCTTCGCAGCTATTTTTCGGTGATCGCCGCTGCCCAGGACGGCAACGTGGCCACGGACCCGCAAGAGTGCTTTCCACGCGGTTGTCATTCGGACCTGCCGAAACATTGTTGCATTGACCTCGGCCCAACGGTTTCCCTTCGGACCTGCGGGGGCACCAAGCGAGTGGAGAGCGGATCGTGACGAAGGGAGCTGCGGGAGGCGGGGCTTCGCAGCTAGTGCACTTCTCGCGGCTACCCGTGACATCGACGTGACCACGAGTTTGCCCAAGTGGTTGACCGTCAGGCCCGCAAACATGCCCTCCAAGCGGTTGTCCTTCGGATCTGCCGAAGCACTATTGCATTCATCGTGTATTGAGCGGTGTGTTGCATGGCCGCCCCGTGTTTACATAGGGATCGGGTTCTTCGCCAGGCTAGTTGTTCGACGGCGGCGACCCCTGGCGGTCCCATCGCGAAACGGCGGACGGCAAACCAAGGAGCAGGAGAGATGGACGAGGAGGAGGGAGAAGGGGACGAGGAGCAGGTGGAGGAGGAGGAGGAGGTGGAGGAGAGGGAGGTGAAGGAAAGGCAGGCGTTGGAAGAGGAGGAGGAGGAGGAGGAGGATGCAGATGCGGAGTTGGAGGAGGAGCAGGAGGAGGAGCACGAGGAGGAGGAGGAGCAGCAGCAGGAGGAGGAGGGGGAGGAGGAGGAGGGGAGGAGGAGGGAGGGGGAGGAGGAGGAGGAGAGGGAAGGAGGAGGAGAAGGAGGAGGAGAGGAGGAGGAGGAGGAGGAGGAGGAGGAGAGGAGGAGCAGGAGGAGGAGGAGAAGGAGAGGGTTAAGGGGGTGAAGGCAGAGGAGCAGGAGGAGGAGGAGGCGGAGGAGGAGGAGAAGGAGAGGGAGGAGTTGAAGAGGAGGAGGAGGAGGAGGAGGAGGAGGAGGAGAAGGAGGAGGACGAGGAGTTGGAAGGGATGAGGAGGAGGAGGAGGAGGAGGATGAGGAGGAGGAGGAGGAGGAGGAGGAGGAGGAGGAGAGGGAGGAGTTGGAAGAGGAGGAGGAGGCGGAGGAGGAGGAGGAGGAGGAGCAGGAGGAGGAGGAGGAGGAGCAGGAGGAGGATGGGGAGGAGGAGGAAGTGGAGGAGCAGGAGGAGGAGCAGGAGAGGCAGAAGTTGGAGGAGGAGTTCGAGGAGGAGCGAGCCCAGGAAGAGGAGCCGCAGGAGGAGGAGGAGGAGGCAAAACGCCGCCCGTTGCAGGGGCATGGCCGGCTCCAGCACTCCCGGCCCGGGCGACCAAGTCCTGCTCCGGGGGGACGTGCTGCTGCAGAGGAAGGGCGCGGCGGAGCCGAGGCGCTTAGCTTCCCTCATCACCCCTCGTGCTCCCTGTTTCTCGAGTCAGAGGAGCATTTATCATGATAGTGATACGGTCGCGATGGAGCGTTCTGCGTCGGAACTGGCCCCACGGCGGCCCGCCATTCCCGCGGCAGAATCGCAGAAGAAAAACACCATACGCATAAACTTGTGGCGCCTCGCGCGGATTTTTTGCGTCCGCGCAGGGCCGTCCACCCTGCGGCGCCTCCGGCGCGGCCCCTGGCGCGCTCCGCACGCCGGGGAGGGGGGTTCAGCGCAGAGCGCCAACAGTTTAATGTTTATGCCGTTCTTGTTTTCTTCTACCTTCTTGTTCTAAGCATTCCTCCTCCCCCTTTTCCAGATCCCTCCTCAAGTCAGAGGAACAAGAAGTGATGATAATGGTACGTTCTTGGACGTCCTGGTGCTCCAGCGCGTCCAGTCTGAAACGTGTGATGTTGCGCCGCACGGCCTCCAGAAACGAGGGCCGCTGGATGCTCCAGGATTCCTGGAACTATCCTGAGCCGTTTCACAAAAAGGATTATGTCGGGCACTTCCTTCTACAGGAGGAACATTCAAACATGTCGCAACAAAAACTTGATATCGGGACGAGTTTACCACTACTTTAGGGTATATGTGAGCATGGTTTGGCTTAAAACAAATTGCCCAAACTCAGCCTGTAGGAGGACACGCCCGACCTAAGCCATAATATTTTTTCGGTCCTACCAAGACGTTGCTGTGCACGCGCGATGATGTAGCACATCTCTTGTTTAAAGCACCTTGCCGTTCATGCCATGCGGGCCAAGCGCGGGCGTCCCCGCGCGCATGTCAGATGCAGCCAATCGCTGTCACTATCCTACTGCTCCCTTTTTCCTTCCCCGTCTTCCACTCTTCCTCCTCTTCCCCTTCTCGTTCTCCTTCGCTTCACCGTGAGCTGGCGATGGTCGTGGACAGTGGCTTGCCGGCGGACCTGCGGCATTCCATTCCCGCGAGTCGCGCATCGAATGTCAGTTGCTTTTTGGAGCCTTTGCGGTGGCAGAAATAATCTCTCCAAGGGTGCTGCGCAGCCCCGACTCTCCGCGCCCACAAGGGGCTCCCCAGCAGCGGCAGAGCTGGTTTTTGTTGGTGCCGTTTTCGAAATCGGGGGTGGCAAAGAGGTGGGTAATGACTGAGGGGGAAGAGGGGGAGGAGGAGGAGGAGGAGGAGGAGGAGGAGGAGGAGGAGGAGGAGGAGGAGGAGGAGGACGAGGACGACGAGGACGAGGACGAGGACGAGGACGAGGAGGAGGAGAAGGAGGAGGTGGAGGAGGAGGAGGAGGAGGAAGAGGAATAATAATAATACAAATACTAGTAATGAGAAGAAGAATCAGAAGAAGAAGCAGACTAATCATAAATAATAATACTAATAATAGTAAGAAGAAGAGGAGGAGGAGGAAGGGAGGAGAAGGAGGCGGAGGAGGAGGAGGAGGAGGGGGAGCAGGAGGAGGAGGAGGAGGAGGAACACGACGAGGAAGAGGTAAGAGCAGGAGAAGGTGGATGAGGAGGAGGAGGAGGAGGAGGAGGAGGAGGAGGAGGGGGGTTGTATAGCATGGCGGGGGCCATGATATTTTCAGATCTCATGGCGCCTCTTCTGATCTCAATGCGTCTCTGCCCCCCCCCCCCCCCCCCCCCCCCCCCCAGGCAGCGCACATGCCGCCGGCCATGATTTGCGCCCCCCCCCCTCTTGGACGCCCCCGAAACATTGTCTCTGGAACGTGACAGCGAGACTCGGACTGGAGTCGGAACTGAACGAACAAAAGAGGTGAGAGTGAAGCGGAAACAAATTTGCGCCAGTGCCGACAGACATGAAGCAAAACCAAACACGGTCACATAACGGTTGTGTCATTTTCAGGAGGTGAAAAACAACACACAGACACCATTAATGGTCGATCCCCAGGAAAATCTACGAAGACATGGGGAGGGGGGGGGGAAGACCTGGGATTTGTGTGTATTTATTGTTTCCCTGGGTCGTTATATATATATATATATATATATATATATATTTGCTTGTGTATACATATATAAACAAACCGGTCTCAAAACGGTGTTGAACACTTTCCAACGAGCCGACGGATCCCCGTCGAGAGGGGTGCCCCCGCGCCCGCGGCCCTGCCTGGGGAGGCACCTGGTCCTGTGGGAGGACCGCTTCTCGTTCTTCACGCGCGAGGAGGAGCGCCCCTGCCAGACCTGACGAACGAACAGCACGCACCCATACCCATAGGTGGGACGGAGGGGGCTATGAGTGCGTGTTGTCGGATGGGGGCCCCCACTCGAAAGGAAGCGCCCCCCAGGATCCGACAACCCGCACCCATACCCATAGCCAGTCCTCCCAACGTTCCCCCTATGGGTTTGGGTGTGTGTGTGTGTGTTGTTCAGTCGTCAAGACCCCCGTCGGGGACAGGGGCCTGGCGAGGAAGATCCGTTGGCAACCACCGCTCCGACGAGGAAAAGGTACCCATACCTCTAATTACCCCTCTCTCGGTTTCCCCTTTTTGTCGCCCTCCCGGGAGGCCCGCGTCGCCACCGCTGGATTCTCCTCGAAGTTCTGGTCAGGACGCACCCCAGGAGACGTCCGGGGAGTAGCCGTATCGGCACCGTTTGGTTTCCCCAACCAACGCGCAAAGTGTACCCAGTGGGCAGCTTCTGGGGCATCTTCGCGAGGAGATGGTTTTTCCAACTGCCCTGTCATGTTGGGCCTTCGTTTGGACAAGACAGCGCCCCGCGTCCTCCTCTCCTCTCCTCTCCTCTCCTCTCCTCTCCTCTCCTCTCCTCTCCTCTCCTCTCCGCTCCTCCTCCTCCTCCTCCTCCTCCTTCTCCCCTCTCCCTCCTCGTCCCATCCTGTGCTTTGCCCTCCGCGCGTCCAAATCTGCACGCCACTCACACGTCTCGTGGCTCCATGAGGAGTTCCACCGCGTACCCCATGTAACCAGTGGGCAATCTCTGGGGCAGGTTCGCGAGGAGATGGTTTTTCCAACCGCCCTGTCGTGTTGGGCCTTCGTTTGGAAAAGACAGCGCCCCGCGTCCTCCTCTCCTCTCCTCTCCTCTTCTCTCCTCTTCTCTCCTCTCCTCTTCCTCGTGCTCCTCCTCCTTCCCCTCCCCCCTCCTTCCTCCCATTCTTTGCTTTGCCCTCCGCGCGTCCAAATCTGCACGCCAGGCACGCCCCGTGGGCCCATCTGGAGCTCCACCGCATACCCCACTGGCGGGGTCCGCATGGCGCCCCCGCCCCCCATGCGGCACATCCCTCTAGCGCTTCGTGGCCCCACGGGGAGCTCCACCGAAGGCCCCAGTTGTGACGTTCGCGTGCGTCCGCGGCGGACATGTTGGCACACCACTCGCACGGTTCGTGGACACACGGGGAGCTCCACAGAAGGCCCCCGTGGCGACGTTCGCATGCGTCCGCGCCGCCCATTGCGGCGCACCCCATCACACGGTTCGTGGCCCCACATGGAGCTTCACCTAAGGCCCCAGTGGCGACGTTTGCACGCGTTCGCGCAATACGTGGTGGCGCCCCCCCACACGGTTCGTGGCTTTTTAGGGAGCTCAACCGAAGGCCTCAGTGGCGACGCTCACACGCGTCCGCGCCACCCATGACGACGCACCCCCCACGCGGATGGAGCTCCACCAACGGCCCCAATGGCGACGTTTGCATGCGATCGCGCCACCCATTACAGCTCATCACGTGGCCCCATGGGGAGCTCCAACGAAAGCCCCTGTGGCGACGTTTGCATTCGTCCGCGCCCCCCCTCGCGACGCACCCCTCACACAGTTCGTGGCCCCATAGGCAGCTTCACCGCAGGCCCCAATGGTGACGTTCGCATGCGTCCGCGCCATTTATTTCACACCTCACGATTCGTGTCCACATAGGGAGCTCCATCTTTGGCCCCCGTGGCAAGGTTTGTATGCGTCCCCCCCCCACCCATTACGGCGCAACCCCCACACGGTTGGTGGCCCCGTACGGAGCTCATTTGAAGGCCCCAGTGAAACCCACCTCTTTTTGTGGCCGGTCAGAGGTTTCACCGAAGACGACATTCACAAGTGCGGCATTCACAATTGCACATGGTTGGGCTCCTCGCCAGGGTACCTTGTTTATCCTCTGGCGCGTAACGGTCGCAACCCAGGCCCATCCCCCTGGGGTAACTATAACGATCGTGCGTGCGGGGTGGGGGGGGGGGGGCATGCCCCACCCCCCGCCCTACAGCATGATAGCGCTCTCGCACATGTTGGCGATCGCAGCGCACCCCTGCCCCGCCGTGCCCCACCCGGCCCACGCGTTACTGTTACCTGTGGGCCGTCTCCCCCCCCCCCCCCCCCTGGGCAACGACCTTGAGACATTCTGAAAACTTCGCTTCGCTCGGATGCCTGCATATTTCAGTGCATACCCGTGCCCCCTTCCACCTCCTTCTCCTGTTACTTTTGCTTCCTCTCCCCCCCTTCCCCCCCCTCCTGGCGCCGCGCCCACCCGAGGACTTCAGCGCGCAGCAGAGGCCCCGCGCGCAGGACACCCGCCCCCCCTGCCTCCATATGCGTATACGATGTATGAATTAATGTTTACGTGGACGAACACAGTAGGCCTACGTAGGTGCCTGTGGGCGCCTGGGAGAGGCACTGGGGAGGTGCCTGCGGGCAGCCCAGGAAAGGCACTGGGGAGGTGCCTGCGGGCAGACCAGGAAAGGCACTTGGGAGGTGCCTGCGGGCAGCCCAGGAGAGGCACTCGGGAGGTGCGCTGCGGGCGCCTGGGAGAGGCACGTGGGGCGCGCGCCAAGAAACGGGGTGTTTCTTCGTCAGGGTACCGTCGGTCTCTTCTCTCCGCGCGCTGCGCGATGACTGTTTGTGTGTGTTTATTGTGTGCTTATTCTGTGTGTGTGTTTGTTGAATGTCTGGATTGCCGGTTCCAGATGGACCAGAAAACGGGGGCGGCCGCAAACAATCCTGGGCGGATGCATCTGTTTTCCTGCGCCACGGAGTTTGGGACTGTTTGTGGGCCCTTTTGGGCCTCCCATCGTGCTTTTCTTGCTGTCTGGGGCCGTTTTTGTGGCTGCCTGAACCCTGCGGTCGCGCGCGCGGCCACTGTGTGAAGCCACCCGCACCACAGGCATGAGGTTGGCCCCTGGGCTTCCCAACGCCGTGCCAACGTCTCGTCGGGAGGGTGGGTCTCGGCCAAGATTCCGTGGGCCGATCTTGCTTTGGCGGGCCCCCGGTTCGCATCTCCTCCTCCTCCTCCTCCTGCTCTTGTTGATCTTCGTGGCTCGTGGCTATTCGTCGTCTTCTCTCTCTCCTGCCTCACGCTGAGTCGCCGGTGCCGGAGGGAGGACGGGAGTGTGTCGGCAGGGGCAGCAGGTTGGGTTCGGCACGGCGCGCGGGGCCTTCGCCCTGCTGGTTTTGTTCGTGCCAGTCTGTGTCCGTCCTGCGTCCGGTTTCCTTCCTGGAGTCGTCGCTCGTCTCCTCTGTCCTCTTCCCCCCTTCTCGCTCCTTTCTCTCTCTCTCTCTCTCCCACTCTGGGAAACGGGAGGGGCGAGAGAGGAGGGAGAAACTTTGAGGACATCTAGAGCAAAGAAGAGAAAAAGGGGAGAGGAGAGATGAAAGAGGAGAAAGGGTGAAGGGTTTCAGACAGGGGAGGAGGAGAGGGGAGAGTTCTAAGCTAGGTGTGCTCGCGCCATTTCTGACGTCCGACCCCTCCCACACATTCTTTCCCGTTGCGCTGTTTTCTCCATCAGCCGACGCCTGTCATAGCGGACCTGCAACTTCAAAGGGGACCCCAACGTGTTATGCGCAATCGGAAAAGGGGATTTGCATACATTGGAGGAGGAGGTGGCGGATGAGCAGCAGGATGGGCAGGAGGAAATAGAGGAGGATAAGGATGGAGGAAGACGAGGACAAACAACAGAAGCAGCAGCAATAATTGAAGTGGACGGAGCGGGAGGAGCAGGAAGACCAGGGGAATACGGAGAAGGGAACATGATGAGGACGACATCGATGCTGAAGGAGCCGGACTCACAAGAGTAGGCCGCGCTAGGGCGAGAGCGCCAGACTGATTCGCAGGAACAAAGCGCCCATTCCAACATGAGGCCCAAGCTGCAGGGGGAGCGCCGTTTTGAAATGCCGGAAACAGTCAGGTTGCAAAAGCATGCAAACAAGCGAATTGTTGCAACCCTGCGAGTATGAAACAATACGCGGAGAAGGCGAATCTTCGGGGCAGAGTCATACAACCGAGGAGATTCGTGCTCACACAAATTAGAGGATGGAGGGGCGCATGGCCCATCATTTGGGACCGCTTCAGGGCACCAGCTGGAGAAGTTTTGGGAGGTATCGCAGCACAGACCGCGGCTCAAATTTGCTTCAACTCTGTTCTGGGTGGCTTGGTTGCTTGATGGCGCGTTTCTGGGAAGACTGCGCTGTGGGCAGCAGAAGGTCAGTTGTTCGTGCTCCCGTGGTCGTCCTTCTCCTGCTCCTCCTCCTCCTTATTCTCCTCCTCATCCTCCTTCTCCTGCTCCTCCTCCGCTCCCCTTCCTTATCCATCTTCTTCCACTCCCCCTCAGATCCTCCTCCACCTCCTCCACCTCCCTTCATCCTCCTTTTCGCCCCCCTCCACGTCCTTCTCCTTACACCCTTCCGCCCTCATTATCCTTCCATTGTCCTTCTTGTCCTCCTTCGTCCTGCCTCCCTCCGTTCCTCTTTCCTCATCGTCATTCCCCTTTGGCTACGCTCAGTCCCCCTTCCTCCTCCTCCTCCTCTCCTCCCTGCTCCTCATCTTCCTCCTCGTCGTCTTCCCTTCAGCTCCTCCCTCACCGCCCATGCCATCATCCTCACATCTCATCCTCATAATGTGTCCTTTCCTCCCCGTTGCCACTTCTCCCTTAATCTCACCTGCCCTCTCACATATCCTCTCTTCCTCTCCTCATCCTCTTGCGGCACAGTTGCGTTTCCACAATCGACTGCAGGCTTACACGGGTTTTGTCAACCTGTTGATGCTCCTCCTGTGTCCTGGCCTCTCTTCCTACTTCTCCTTGTTCCTTTCTCCGGCTATGACAGGCCATGCGCAGGAGCAGGAGGAGGAGAGGGTGGAGTTGAACAATAGCAGTGAGCAGGCGAAAGCGAAAGGATGGGCGTGGCGGCAGAGGGGAGTGTATCAGAGGGGGGTGATGAGAGCGCGCGGTTAAAGCGCGCAGGGTGTTGCATCCCTTGACGTCATTTCCTGGGTGTCTGTAGACCTGGCCCGTCGGCCCTACGCACTGTATTACTTTTTTCATCGCGGGGTCCTCGCAGGTAGTCCCGATTATTCCCCTATGGCCAGCTCTGCATCGAGAGTCGATGCTCTGACGGGCCGGGGTGTCTCCGAGGGCCCCGAGGACCCCGATGGCCGAAGACAACCAAAGAAACACCGCGTTGAAGTTTTCAGCGCGTTAGTCCGAGGCGTGGATTTACACACGATCACCGCCTGTGGAATCAGCCTGCGGGGACATCGGCAGGCCATGGATGTGGACATACTCGGGTCGGACATCCATCTCCAGATCCACCGCGCGCCGAGGTTCCAGATGATCGGTCCCCCAGCTGGTGGTTCTGGATCAATCCCCCCCTCAAAGTTGGAAGTCTTGGCTCCCCCTCCCCCCCCCTCACCACCCACCAAACCACCCCAACCTTTACGTTGCATCTTCGGGGGACCTCGCCTGTCCCCCAAATTGGTGTCCTTTCTTGTCTCCGACGCGGGCTCGATGCGGCCTCGACGCGGATTTGGAGTGCATCCGACGCGGATTCGACACGGATCCGACACGGATCCGACAAGGTTTACATGGATTCGACACGGAATCGACGCGGATAGGGCCGCGGCGGGACAGACAAGACCTTTTGAGGATGCAACATAACAACCTATCCCGAAGACCCCAATTTGCTCTCCATTCCCAGTGCACGGCACCAGGACCGTCTCAGGTCTGGTGTCCACCGGGCAGCTCGTCGGCCGGTGGTTCCGGGCCCTCCACGGAAGGGGTATGTGCTCCTGCGGCTTGGCATCGCTCCGACGTGTGCGTGTTTTCCTCGGCGAGGACTATCGAGGAGCATCCTGGATTCCCCTCGCGAAAAGATGGCACACACGAAATGTAAAAATCCGCTGATAATGGGCGTCCGAGCGATGGCGAGTATCTAGGCCGCTTAGATGGGGTCGGAGCAGATGGGGTCGGAGGATCGCCGATGCATCGCCGATGCATCGGCGATGCGGCTCGATGTGGACCCCGATGTTCTCCACGCTGGCGTCACCGATGCATCGCGGACGCGGCCGATGCATCGCCGATGCGGCGCGATCCTCTGGCCCCATCGATTCGGAGCCCACCTGGGAGGCCTCTTGTCCGCGCGGGGGGCGACGGCCGCAGGCTCGGTCGGCGAGCGAGGGAGGGCAGCGAGGAGGCGCCGGGCTCTTCGGAAGGCTCGGAAGTCCCCCGGCCTTCCGAGAAGTACAGCAGGGTCGTGCGGCGTTGGCGCGCCAGCGACGCCGGCGAAGGCGTTCAAGGTTGAATTCTGCGACGCGGAAGCACCACTGGGCGCGGTAACGCTACTGGACCCGACTGCCGTCAACCTGGAACGGACGGGGCCGCGATCGATTCAAGGTTGAACGGTCGGCGCGGTGTCAGAAACCTTTCCGCGCGCCGACGCCGCGCGATCCTGCCATATTCTAGGCCTCCCCGGAAGACACGGCAGACTTTTCAGAAGGCGCGGGGGGCTTATGAGAGATCCCGCCGCCTGCCTGGGAGACCTTCGCCTTTTCGTTTTCCCCCGCCAGTCGATCGCCGCCGACAGGTGCCGCTCGACGCCCTGCTGGGCGTGCAGGCCCCGCGCCGCTCCCGCCCCCGGCCCCCCCCCCAGCGTGGCCGAGGACGCCGCGCCGCGAGCGGGCTGGCCACCAGGTGCGCACGTCTGTGCTCCGGCGGGGCCCACCGCTGCACCTGACAAGTGTGCCAGTGCGCACGGGCTGCGCACCGTGCCCTCGGCAGTGCCCGATCGCAGTGTGGGCCTCCCTCTGCCGTCCGCGCCTGGGGATCCTCTGCGCCGCCGACCTTAAAGCAAGTGTGCGCTGAGTGGGTCCCGAGCATGTTCTCTGGATGGAGGGCAAAGGGTGGAATCTGACATGCCTTCCCGATTGATTTCCGAGGCTGGAGTCTGCAAGAGGTGGACCAGATTGGTTGTCGAGGTGCATAAGCCCATCTGGATTTCACCCTGAGCCCTCCACCCTCAGAGACCGCTCCGGGAGCCCTTCCCCATCTGCTGAGGGGTCCGGCCGCGCGCGCGCCCTGGGTGCCTGGGGACTTTCTCCGCCTCCCCGCGCTGCGCGCGGGGCCGCGATCGCCAAAGAGTGTACGCTTCGGAGCCCCGGGCGCGGCCCCCAAGAGGCCCCCCCGACCCAAGACCTCCGACGATGATCAAGTGGTGGCGAGGCATCCGAGCTTGCCTACAGTTATGTTCTAACAGCATTGTGCTTGTGCTCAGAGCATGCGTTGGCTCTGAGGACATGTCGTGGTAGGCCCATCGGAGTGCTAGGACGGTCGGTCACAGCTCAAGATATGTTTTTTCCAGCCGGCGTTAGTGCCTCGGTTTGTGCCTCTGGTCCCTGGGGTCCCGTAACCGAGTCCTAGGACCAGAAATTGACCGTGGGGCTGAACATTGGACCTTTGGGGCCGCGCCTTGAAATCAACATATCGTCTGATGTCTTGGGTACCCACAAGACCTTTTACGACAGCCCCAGGACGGCCCCCAGGCCCCAAAAAGGCGTTCAAGAGTCTCTCATGAGAGGCCTCCGAGCGGGATCCAAGATGAAGGACTCAGTCTTCGAAGTGGCCCCTGAGGTCCTTCACCTCAGGATGGCCTTCGAGACTGCTTCGAGGCCTTCAATGCCCCCCCCCCCCATTGAGGCCCTCAAATGGCCCCCACAAGGCCTTCGGGCTTTGTTCCGAATCATCCAAGACACCGAACGGGTCCACCAATCAGAGCCGGGCGTCTGGGGAGCCTCTGTTTGCACAAGTGCCGCGTCGGAGGTCTGGGCTGGGCGTTCCCGAGAGGGCCTCGCCGCCAGGTAAAATCGGAGGGCTGCCCTCGGGATAGCCCTCTGCGCGAGGCCAGCTCAGAACAGAGTGCGGCCCCGCAAGCAGAAGCGGAGGCCGCCAGGGGAGCGTCGTCGTCGTCGTCGACTTCGTTGTCGTCTTCGTCGTCGCCCTCGTCGTATCGGCTTAGCTTGTTGGGAGTAGAAGGCGCATCCGCAACGAAAGGGCTCCGGAAGCGGCCATAGTGGGGTGCTGAGGCTGAGGGTGAGGATGGTGGAGGAGTTATCAGTGGTGAGCGGGGTGTGAGGCGTGCGCAGAAGGTGCGAGGAGGAGCAGGACCAGGTGTGTGTGTGTGTGTTGTGTGCTGTATGTGTTGTATGTATTGTGTGTCTTTTGTGTCTTGTGTGTCTTGTGCGTCTTGTGTGTATTGTGTGTGTTGTGTGTGTTGTGTGTGTGTGTTGTGTGTGATGTGACGTTTTGCGTTTTCGTTATGGCCGCACGGGGGAGGCCTTCGTCGCTGCGGCTGGATTAGCATCGGAAGCCTGGTAAGAACACGTCCCAGGGGAGGTCAGGGCGAGGGGGGAGCGGGGAGTTGGGTGGGTGAAGGGTGCAGGGAGAAGGCGAAAGTGGAGGAGGACAAAGGATGCCGCATCTTCATGGTGCGCGGGGGCGATGGACATCTGCCTCCGCGAGGAGCAGCAGCAGAAGGTATGTCAATCTAGAGAGGCCGTCGGCCCAGCCCGCCGCCGTGCCCCAGCCGTCGACTGGAGGCTTCTCGGAGGCCGTGTGGGGCCCGTTGGAAAGCCTCCGAGGGAGCTCCTCCCTGCCTCTCGGGAGCACCTTGCCAGCCGCCGCGGGAGCCTCGTTGCAGGGCCTCGTTGCGGGCCTCCTGGGGACCCTTTCGGGGGCCTATGGTCCGGAGGGGAAAAACACATAGACACAATTCATCGTCGATTCCCCGGAAAATGTGGAAACATATGGGAAGTGGGGGGGAAGACAAAAACCTAGAAAATATATAAAGAATATGGGGAATCCTTTTATGTGTGTGTATTTATTTGTGTGTCTCAGGGCCCCTTCATATGGGGGCCTGTTTGGAGCTCCTTCGAGGCCCCGGGGGCTCTCTTGGGGGCCTGGAGAGGCTGTCTCGGGGGCCGTCTTTCGGGTGGAGTAGGGCCCAAACGGCCCTTCCGAGTACCTTCATCTTGGGTCCAGCTCGGGGGCCTGTTGGGAGCCTGTTGGACGTCTCGCGGGGCCTCGGGCCTTGGGGCGATCGCGGGGAGCCTTTGCCGCTCTTGCGACAGAACAGGCGCGCATATGAATTGACGTCTCTTACCCCTTCCAGGCTACAGTTGATCGGATAACTGTGCCTGCGGCAGGTCGGCTCGCATAGCGATCCGAGCTTGCCTGGCGATCTTCTGCTTCACGTCACTGCGCCAGTCACGCCGTAGTGAGCTTCAGTGGCCTCGTGCTCCCCATCTCCCTGCCTCCCAAAACAAAGGCGCGCATGTGAACACCATGCAGCAATCTGAGGCTTTTCGGTGAGTCTGGCTTCCTCGGCCGGCCCCCAGAGCATCCCAGCAGCCCACGGGCCCCCAGCAAAGGAGCCCGGAACGGCCCCTCGAGGCCATCTCGGGCCAAACTGGAAGCGTGGATTCTGCAGCACACCTCCGCTGCTTCGGGAAAGTCACGCCCCGATAACAAAGGAGCTCACGTGAATTCCCGACATCCAGGGACTCCATCCAATACGCGAAGACAAGCTACAATCTTCAGCGCCGAGAACTCAAAGGGCAGCAATTTCACCCCACTCAGTGCCTACGGCAGGATGGCGGAGAATGCATAGTTCTGGTGTGCACGTGAGGCCAATCGGGCGAGAATGCAGTAGCAATTTCAGGGCCAGGCGCAGGGAAGATCAGACACTGGGCCCTCTATGCGGTCCCAGGGCCACATCGAACCCGAAAGCGTACCGAAAGGAGGTGCCGCGGGATGCAGACGCATCGCAGCCAAAGAACACTAGTGCAAAGTAGAAGTGTGATATGTTGACACTTTGTGATCCTTCTGCGCAGCCACTCCCCACCCGCCTCCTCGCCTCCCCAGAGATTTCATGCCTGGACACCTTCAATGCGCAATCCCTGGAATTTGCAAGCTGCTCCCCAGGGCAGGCTTCTGATCCCGAGCTGCTTTTCTGATTGTTCTTGGGTCCATGAAAAAGGGCCCCCAACGGCAGGCGCCGGCGAAACATGTAAAGCAAGCCTTCGCCGGATCCTTTCAATCCCTGAGTGACAGAAGTAACAACAACTAAGGACAAGGCCTGTTGGGGAAATTTGAGGGGAGGGGCATCCGACACGCCTAGCAAACCCTGAACACCCGCGGCTGCCAGGCCCAAAGGGTCCCGGTGATCCCCAGGTGTCCCGCCTCGCGCCGTCGTCGAGTGACGACTGCGCGCCGCGGCCGTCAGGCCCCGAGGGGGCCACGTGCTCCCTCGGGATCCCCCTTCGCGTTCTCCTCCTCGTCCTCCTCCTCCTCCTCCTCGTCCTCCTCCTCCTCCTCGTCCTCCTCCTGGGGTGGGAATCGCTCGAATCAAGATGTTGCGCGTCGGCCATGCGCCAGGGGCAGCTGTCCTGCGCGTTCGCCCCCCTCTCCCTCCCTGCGGGGGTCTCCGCCAGGGTGCCCCCGCGGGCGAAGTCCGCGAAGTGTCCAGAGTCCAGGGATACATGACTCTCGAAATCATTCGACCCTCCTCCTCTTCCTCCTCCTCCTCCCTCTCCTCCCTCCCCTCCTCCTCCTCCTCCTCCCTCCTCCTCTCTCCTCCTCTCTCCTCCCTCCTCCTCCTCCTCCTCCTCCTCCTCCTCCGCCTCCTCCTCCTCCTCCTCCTCCTGGCGTTCATCTCGCTTCTCCAGCCTCCCCCCCTGATCCCGCACCCCGCGTGGACAGGCTGTGGGAGGTGAGCATCCCTGGCTGCTGCTCCTTCTCCCCTCGGGCTCGGTCGCCCAGGTCTTAGGTTCTGTCATTGTTTTTGTGACCAGTTTGAAAGACAGTTTCCAGGGGACCGCATTCGGGACGAAAAGTTGGCCCCAGGAACTCAAGGGTCTGAGCGACCCTGGGGCCCATGCCTCGAAAGAGGCCACGCCGAGGGTGTCTGGGCCCGTGGCCCTGGTCGGGTTGAGGGCGATCTGGGACGTTCGGCGCGGCGAGGTCGACGAGGACACCGTCACGCTCTCGCTGTCGGACCGGGAGCTTTCGTTCCGCACCGCCGGAGGAGACCGGGGGTGGGTGGACCCGCGGCTGTGTCGGACACCCACTCAGAATTCAGAACTAGGCGTCGCAGACAGAACAACAACCAGCGGGATTCGCTCGATACTGTCAGTTTTTTTGTTGCGCGTCCCCCCCCGCGCGGTTGGCTGGTGAATAGTACCGCGGGGCGCGAAACCCTTGTTCCAATGACGCGCGCCCAGCGATGCCGCGCGAAGCCTCGCCGTGGACGATTGCAGCCAGCGTCGTGGAGATGCGCGTGCGTCGCTGCGCCGCCTTCCTCCCTGCCGCATCGGGACTTCGAGAGCGCACGTCGCTCGAGGTGCCCTGGGCCTGCCCGGCGTGATCGGTCAATCCCTCTCGAGCGACGACGTCGGCGGTGGCAGCGGCGGGTGCGGACGGCCACGCCCTCTGGCCGCGCCTTGGCGGCCTCCTCCGCGGCAGCTCGGCACCCCCTTCCAGTAGTTCGGTCTGAGCACGCGCGCGGCCGCTGCAGGCCAAGTTCAGGCCGCCATCGCGCGACAGTTCGGAGCATATTGGTCGAATATCGCGCCTGGCGCTTTGTGCAGGCTTCACGGGGGAGGCGAAAAAGGGGGAGAGGGGCGCGTGGAGCTTCCAGCGGGGAAGGTGGAAGGGAGGGGGGGTACGGACGACCACAACCACATACCGGACAGGATGTGTGAGCATGACGGGATACGGGTATCCATTTGCATTCCGCTCTCCCCGTCTCCTCCTCGTCCTCGTCCTCCTCCTCCTCCTCCTCCTCCTCCTCCTCCTCCTCCTCCTCCTCCTCCCTTCGCCCTCCTCTCTTCTCCCTCCTCCTCCTCCTCCTCATCCTCCTACCTTCTCCCTCCTGTCGTTCCTCCTCCTCCTCCTCCTCCTCCGTCTCCTCTTCCGTCCCTTTCCTCCTCCTCCTCCGCCTCCCCCGTCCTCCTCCTCTCCCGTCCTCCTCCTTCTTCTCTTCCTCCTCCTCTTCGTCCTCCTCCGGTCCTACTCCTCGCTTTTTGTAACCCGGAAACATTTGAAAATATTACAATTTTCAATGTTTCATATTTTCGGAGCGCTTGAAATTTTGAAAAGATCTACAACTTTAAAGTGTAAAGATCTTCGGAGGCCCAGGAGTTTTCGGCGATCCTGGTGGTTTGGTGTGCTGCTTCTGGGTCCCTGGAAACATTTTTTTAATTATCGTCAGTACTTTTGTTTAATTCTCGGGACGCTTGAAATTTTTGATTTGTTTACATAATGTTTTGAATATCGATTTTCTTCGGAGGTCCAGGAGTTTTCGGCGATCCTGGTTGCTTGGTCTGCGGCTTGTGAGGTCCTGAGGGTCTTTCATGTTGTTTATTTCTCAAAAAATGATCTTGGGGCCTATGAATTTTCGGCAATCCTCCTCCTCCTCTTCCTCATCTTGCTTGTCCCCTCTTGCTCATCCTCCTGAGGAGGGCAGGCAGGAGAGAGCACGGAAAGAGAACGGATGGGAGGAAGGGCGAATGAGATCGGAGGGGGTAGGAGGTTGATTGGATGAGATGCCGATGCTGATGCTGATAAATGCTGATGGTGGTGCTGATGCCGATTGATGCTGATGCTGGTGCTGATACTGATGCTGATGCTGATTGATGCTGATGCTAATGATGATGCTGATGGTGATTGTGATGGTGATGCGGACTATTACCAATCTCCCATTCCTCAACATGTTCTCCTTCACCCTCTTCCGTTTAGAGCGTGTGTTGCCATATGCTATCCCATGATGCTGCTTTCGCTTAGAGCGTGTTTTGCCATATGCTATCCAATGATGCTGGTGATGGTGGTGATGGTAACAGTAACAATGACGATGGCGATAGCGACGACAACCAAGGCGACGATGGTGATGCCGACGACGACGAGGATACTGCTCATGGCGATGATGATGGTGATGGTGACGATGACGACGGCCACGACGACTGCCATGATGATAACGGTGGTGGCGAGGACGGCGATGACGATGGTTGTCAGCGTGACTCCGCAAGCAGTGCTTTGCAGCGTACTCTGTGGAACAGTGCGGATGTGAGGTAGTTGTGCAACTTATTTTTGCTCACGTTGAAGCAACCTCTGGATGCCGATCTGGAGCCTTCTGGTTTCCTGGGGATTGGTCCAGAGTCTTCTGGCTCCCCCCCAGACGGCTGGGACATGAATCAATGTATTAGCCTAGTAAGGCTTCCTGAGGCCACAGTTCCTGAGGCCACAGCCTCCTTATAACGGCAGTGGGTGTTAGGGGGATCGGTCCCCCTAAAATTGAAAAGGAATTTAGGGGATTTTAGGGGGATTGCCCCCCTAAAACTGGATGGGATTACAGGGGGGCCCGCCGCCTTAAAACGATAGGGCGTTCCTTTCAAATCAGTTGGGATTTTAGGGAGACCGCCCGAAAGTGGAAAGGGATGTCCCTTTACATTCAAATTTGATTTTAGGGAGGCCCGTCTCCCGAAAGCAGAAAAGGGGGTTTTCTGGAGCTTCTTGGGGCCACCTCGGAGCCTCTCGGGGCTCAGGGCTCGAAGTGTATGTTCGCCCCCCCCCCCCCCCCCCACCCCTCCGTCTGGGCACGCTCTTGGAGTCGGTTTGGATGGCTTTTTGGGTGGTCTCGAAGCCTTTCTGGGCCATCTTGGGCACTTGATGGGAATAGTCGCATAAGAATGATTTGCGTTTCAAGGTACCACCTCATCTAAACGTGTCGTTTTGTACGCAGGGCCCAACATGACATGCAATTGTATTCATCAAGCTTTATATCCAACCTATACCGAAAGTTCAATTGCATTTAGTTTAACTTTATAGGCATAACAAAACATGATGTATGGCATGTGCGTCAAATAATGTTGTGGGCGCGTGGTACATGTTATACGAGGGGACAATCCGACTATATACGTGTACACATACATATATGTTTTAGTAGTGTATTTCCGCAGGTAATACTTATAGTAATACATATATATATATATGCATATGTATGTATGTATATATATATATAGATACCCAGAAATATAACATTGTACCATACGTAGTACCGTATATATCCATGTATTATATATATTTTCACAAATCTATATCGTAATACGGACTGTTGGGTATAGTTATGTATATGTATAGCTATAGACGAAAATACTATTGTATCGTGCATGCACCGTGTGCTCACACACTGACAAACTTACTGGATGTATTCTACAAAGTACAGTGCCGACTGTAGATCATGTTGAACATATATGTGTGGTTTCTACGAACACAGGTGCATCTATCATCTACGGGCCTCAGAAGGCACTGGGGTGTCCCTGGAGGCCGCTGGGGGCAACAATATGTTCCAGTAGGTTCAGGCACCACAATGTCCTAGCAAACGTATGGGAGTCACCAGGGGATACCAGGAAACCCAAAGGAGCCCCAGGAGGCCATTAACCGTTCCAAGAGGAAGTGCGGGGAGGCCCCGGAGCACCTCAGGAAACCCAGCGAGGCTTCAGGATACGCTAGGAAACCACAGGATACCCCAACTTCTCAAGACCCCAAGGAGGCCCCAGGAACCCCCTGGAATATTCAAAACGCCCAGGAGGCCCCAGGAGGCGGCACGGCATCCCACTGGAAACCTTCGGAGGTTTGAGGAGGTCGCATTTGGCATGTGGTTCTGGCGGTGGCAACACCCGGCGGTGATCCAGAATCCCCCCAAAAAGTCACCACGTGGTGTTGGGATCCGGGTAGTGTTTGGAGGATGCGTCGAGCGGTGGTGGCCCCAGGACTCACGAAGCCCGCCGGTGACCCTGCGTACCAAAACCTGGGGGGGTGACGTTCTGAGGATTTGGGGTCGCCGCCAGATGTCTCGCCACTTTGTTTGAGGACGGCCAAATCACGGGTGCGAATTGCACTGTAGGATTCCACCGAGGGTGCGAAACCATTCGCGCTTCACGCCTTGCGGTTCGGCTCCGACTCTTCTCATCTTTTTGTTCACCCTCGGGGGCGTCGCGAGAATGCGAGGCGCGAAGTTTTTTCGCGCTTCGCGCGGCATGGAGAGCGAAGATAAGAGCCCAAATAATCACGCATCTTTGCGCATTAGTTGCCGTTGCCTTCCGCGGTCGCCCCTGCTCAGGGCAGGTGCTCTTCTTCAATGGCGCACCGGCCAGTATGGTTAGTAATTTCGGCCGGGCGGCAAGTCGGCAATCGGCCAGTTATCTCAGGGTCCATGTTCTCCGTCCGCGGTGCCACGCTCATCTTGTCACCCGTATTTCTCAAGGTGGCTTCTGTTCTCTGCAAGTCCACCTCGGCAAGCGCCAGTTGGGTCGGGTCGGGCGAAAGAAGGGGATGGTGAGGGAAGGGGGAGGGAGGGAGGGAGGGAGGGAGGGACGCACGAGGAGGAGGCACCGTAGCCATTTTGGCTCAAGCTGGTTCTCCCGTTTTCTCCATTGCCATTTCTGCGATGGATGTGGCTGGAGGTCGGAGAGCATGATGGCTACGGGGGGCTGCCCGTCGTTGTGGCGGCCCACGGCGCGGCGCGAGGCCGAGATCGAGTCGCTCGGGCCGTCCGCCGCTCGGCGCGCGGCTCGCGTTCGAGCCCAGTGGGCCTGCGAGGCGGGCTTGCGAGCGGCCTGGGGCAGCCCGGGCGCGCCAGGATCTTGGCAGGACCGGGAGCGCGCCTCTCGGCAGGCGCTGCAGTTCCGGGCTGCGGGTCGTCGTGTACCTGGCGCTGATAGGCGGCGCCGTAACGCCGCACAGCATGCAGCGCGCGTGCCGACTGGCGGCTTTGCTACGGCGTCTTCGGAGGCGCTGGCATGGGCTGCGGGCGGCCCGCGGCTGGGGCTTTCGGAAGTCGACGAGACGGCCGCGGCTCCCGCCGTAGACGCATTCGAGTTCGCGGAGACCTGCGAGGCAATCACAGTGCCCGAGGCGAACTCCGTGGACATGCATCCCGCAGTGTGCGCGATGCTCGTGGGCCATCGCGAGGCGCTGCCACGCGGCTTCAATGGGGGCAGTGCGTGGAGTGCGCCAGTGCTGGAGTCTTTTCTTCTTTTTGCCGCGGGGAGGCAGGTGCACATGCTGAGCGCTGAGGCCAGGGAGTTCACGCCAGCTGCCAGGGCGGTCTCTGCCCATGCCGCGGATGGACCACGATGCACCTGCGGAGCTATGGTCTTTTCGTCCTGCCGATTGGGCCTGCGGCGGCTCCCCTTGCCCTTGGCGGGAGCGCAGGCGGCGAGGCAGGAACGCGTGGTTCCAGAAGTTGCCCTTGATATCTGTGCTGGTGGCAAGCTCGCTGGAGACGGTAGTCGCGATGATGGCGTTGCTCGTACTTTTCATGCTGATGGAGAAGTTCCTGGTGATGGCCCTTGCAAGGGGGGCCATCCTACAGCTGACAGCGCGGAGCGGCTGAGGGCCGAGAGTTTTAACATTTCGATGTTCGGTTCACACGAGAAGGAGGCTGCTGGACAGCCTCTGGCGGGTGAGGAGGCCGTTCGTCAGCACGTGAAGGAGGTGGAGAGCCAGATGGCCGCCTGGCGGCGGGAGGGCCCATCCACAAGGCCCTTTGTGCGCAGACGTGCGCGGGAGGGATTCGCAGTGCAGGCACCATCTGTGACGGATACAAGATAGGGTGCAGCAGTTTGCGCAAAGATAAGCATGACGGACAGTAGAGGTGTGTTGGAGGGAATGAGCGGTGGCGCGCTCATCTGAGGCTCTCCCCCCGTCTGCTGCCTCTCTGTGTATGCTTAGTCATTTTGTTGCCACGGAATGTGCTTGCAGGGAGAATTTATTACTTTGGCCATTGCCTACGGGCGGTGGTGGGGGGCAGCCAGGCACCTGGGCCTCTGCCCTGCGCCTGCACGGCGGTCCTGGCCTTCGGGCTCCGCCCTGCAGGTGTGGGGTAGAGGTGGTCGGTGGTGTTTGGGGGCCCTTTTTCGCAGCCCCTTCGATCATGGATTGGTGGGAGCCAAGAGAGAGCCACTGGAAAAGCACGAGGAGGAGGGGGATGAGGAGGGGGAGGAGGAGGAGGAAGAGGTGGAGGAGGAGGAAACAGGGGAGGGAGGAGGAGGAGGAGGAGGAGGAGGAGGAGGAGGAGGAGGAGGAGAAGGAGGAGGAGGAGGGGAGGAGGAGGAGGAGGAGGTGGAGGAGGAAGAGGAGGAGGAGAAGGAGAAGGAAAAAGGAGGAGGAGGATGAGGAGGAAAAGGAGGAAAATGAGGAGGAGGAGAACGAGAAGGAGGGGAAGGGGGGGAGGACCAGGATGAGGAGGAGCAGCAGCAGCACGGAAGGGAGGGAGGGAAGGAGGGATGGATGGAGGGAGAGAGGGAGGGAGCAAGGAGGAGAAAGGGGGCAAGGAGGAGGGAGGGAGGGCGGGAGGGGGGGACGGGGGGAAAGAGGGAGCGAAGGGAGGTTTTGCGTCTGGTATTTGGTTCTGGTCGCTGGCACGGGCGCGGGGGGGGGGGGGGGAGGTAAAGGGGGGCCCTTTTGCTCCACCGCTGCGGGCGCGCTCTCTCAGCTATGCAGGCACATGTGTGCACATGTTTACATGTGGCCAAGGGGGGAGAAACCGCCCGGACCCGGCAATTTGCGCTTGCTGAACAGGACGTTCGTTTTTGTTGATCAGCCCTGCCCTGCTCGATTCCCTCTCTGGGTGCGTCTGCTCACGGCTTCGCATGTCGCGGGCGGTGATTATGCTGGGGGGGGGGGGGGATGCTATGCCTTCGATGTGCGTGTTCTAGACACTCCTATGTGTGCGTGTTTACGCGCGTGCACATTCACTCGCACGCCTGCGCAAGAAGTGACGCGATCTGCCGTCATCGGGCCGCGGGGCCTTTTTTCCGCGTGGAGCTGGTCCGACACGTGCCGCGGAGAGCTGCGGCCCAGGGCTCTGGCCGGGCACGATACTTTCGCGCGGTCACGGCACCAGTTCTCTGGTTCAGTAGGGCATGCCCCTCTGCAGGAAGAGTATTCCAAAGTGGTCCAAGATAGTCAGGGGGCGATGTTCCGACTATCTTCTTGATAGTCTCTGAGTATGTGTTGAATATGCTTTATGTTTTCTCCCAGCTCCGCTTGTAGGAGGACATGCCCGCATGCGTCTCGGGATCTGTGCCCACGCGGCGGGGGCCGGCAGCAGGACAGTAAGTATGGCCCCATGGAACGGGCACCTGTGAGGCCGCGAGTGTTTCTCCCCCCCCTGAAGCGGGGCCATCGGCAACAGCGAGAGTGTGTGTGAAGTTCACGATTATTTCGTTGAGTGACCACATGCGGTCGCAGCTGATCGCCATGAGGAAAATAACAATCCTGGGGATCCAGGGCGCCGTGCCCCTCTGGACCCCGCTCTCTTATGGTAAGAGGGCACTGGCCACGAGAGAGCCTGGAGCGCATCCGCGCGCGACCCATATTTTCATCGAAAACGCCTCTGGAAGGTCACCGCCACCCCGCGCCTCGCTCAGCAACGCTGGGCACATGTTTGGCCGAACGTGAGGTCGAAATCTGGCCAAGCTGCTGGACTTTGTATTCCCCCAGGTGTTGCAGAAACAGCTGTGGGGCGCGGCACTAGGGCCCCATTGTTGCATGATTCTGCTTGACCATTGGAACCCTCGCGTTATGGACATATCTACCCTAACGATACCACCGTGGGTTCCCCTCTTCTGTTGTCGTGCCAGACCATTTCGGAGGCGGCGTGGGCCTCTTCGGGGCCGGGGCCCGTCCATGGGGCGGTCAAGGGGTTTCCTGTGGTGTCTCTGGGGCTAGCACCGAGGTCTCTCCGGGCCCGTGGGGACCTTGTGTCAGGCGATCGCAAACATGGATCAAAGGGGCGTGGATTAGCGACGTGTCCTGTTTCCAGGGGAGATCGCGGATTTCCGCAGCCGAAGGAGGCGGCACCGGCCACATTTTGTGGAGGGCACCTCCCCCGATCTATGGAGTTGGCGACCGCGCGCCAAATCCATGGATCGCTAATCCGTGTTTGCGGGCCCCTGATTTTGGAAACATTTCAGTTGTCCAATCGGATGGATAGGGACCAGTCATTATCTGCCGAGTACCATTTCAGGAGTTGGCCCTCCTGTGTTGCTTCCGAGTCTTCTCATTTCGAGAGGGCTTTCGATTTCAAATTGGGTTGGCTCGTCAAAGGAGGTACTATTGGAGTCAGGCGACCCTGAAAGGGAGAACCTGCAAGGCAACTGTTATGCAGTTGGAGAAAGCGCAGACAGGGCTGCATTATTCGATGGCCTGTTATATTTCTGCCTTGCTCGCCAGTTCATTCATCTTCTGCCTCTCCAGTCTCAGCCCTTACTGCTCACCCGCTCACCCCCCGCTCCCTCGTGTCATCCCCGCCGCCCTCCCGCCCCTCAATGTTCTATCTCGCTGCTGCTCTGGTGTCCCCCATACATCCGACCATGGTGTGCTTTTTTCAAGCGCAGGCTCCCCGCTGGAGCTATCGACCCTTTCCTGGGGGGCGGGGGATGCGCGTCTTCACCCTGCACGGGTATCGATTTCCGCTCGACTGTTCACGGGGGGCCCCGAGGCGCCCGCTTCGGCTGCCGGTTCGCCTGAGACCTCCCCGTCTGTTCCAGGATTTGTTTTTGTCGCCTCTATGCTGGTTGCACGGTTTGGTCCGGACGACCACGACCCCTGGCAACATACTTGACACAGGAGGTCGCGGTCGTTCGGACAGGAGTGGGAGCATGGCCATGTGCACCTGAATCAGTGCATGTTCAGACGTGCTGCGGTGCACATGGCTGTGCTCTCATTTCTGCCCCGACTGCAGCTTTTTCGTCGCTGCCGCCTGCATGTTTTGCTGGGGCAACGGTTTGTCCTGGAGCCCAGATATCGCACTTCGAGGCCACACAATGCGAACAACCCGCGTCCAGCTTTGCTAAGACGCCGACTGGGCCAGCCCTTAGCATTCGACCCCCCTTCTTCGAGGGCCGGCAGTGGGGTCACACGGAGCGCGCTGGCCCAGCCCCCGTCTGGCTTGACCCCCGGTCAGAGCTCTCCTGTGAAGCCAGGGGCCCCTCAAGGGCTTGAAGATCTCGGGACCGACCCGCTCGGAAGCTTCGAGAAGCCGGGCCTCTTGTGGGCCCGTGTCCTTCCGAGCACGTCTCCGGACGAGAGGACAGCCCTGGGGACGGGGGGCCGAGAGGCCTTGGGACCAGAGGCTCGACACAGGTCCAGTCGCCAGAGCCATGGGATCCTTCTCCTCCTGCGCCCAGTGGGGGGGCGATGCAAAGGGGGGGGTGAGCGAGGGCCGGTGAAAAGGGGGCCCCTTGAGGGCAGGGGCCCTTCAGGGCCCCAGAGGGGCGCTTCAGGGCCCGAGAAGGGCACCTCGCTTCCTCCCCCCCCCCGTTCGATCGCCCCCCCCGCGTATGGTGCTCCAACCTACTTTAGCCTTGATCACCAGGAAGAATTTCGAGCGCCCCGAAAAGTACCGAAACTCCAGGGTTTCCACGTGTCGGGCCCTGGGAGACACTCGCCCGACACTGTCTCGACACTGGTTCGAGACTCTTTTTTGACACTTCTCCGGGTGCTCGACATTGTTTCTGGGATGTGGCCCTTGGGTAGGATGGGAACAACAGAACCCCCCGCATTGCTTCGCGCCCATTCCTCCCCCGTCCCACGCCGCCTTCCGCCATTCGGCCGGATGGCGATGGGGGGATCAGGACATGGGGGGATGAGTATCCGGTACCGTTTTGTTGGGGTACAATTTGTACCTTCTCTGCGGGTTGCAAATACACATTGTACCTTCTCCTCCCCCTTAACATCCTCGCACATGTCGCGGACGTTGTCAAAAGTACAATTTGTACCTTGTCTGCGTGGCGTCGGTACAAATTGTACCTTCTCCGTGGGGCGTAGGTACAATTTGTACCTCGGTTGCGCCTCTCTCCCCATCTGGACTTATCCCCCCATTTGCATCCCGCCAAGCCATGGCCGCCCCTCCGCCACTCCGCCCTGGAGCGTGGGGAGCGGGCGAGCTGCGAGGGGGGCCGGCCGGGGCGCGCCGGGCAGGCAGAAAGGACGCGCAGGGCTGGGGCGAGGCGTTCAATGCGGCGCGGTCGCAGCAGGCCCCTGGTGGGGGGCCCTGCTCGGGCGGCGGAATCTATCGATCGATTTACCTATCGATCTACTTTTGCACACACATATGTATACATAAATGTATGTGTATGTATGTATGCCCGTATGTAGATAGGTAGGTCTGTATCGATGCATATATATATGTAAATATGTAGATGTGTGTATATATATATATGTAGCTAGTCACTGTTATATATATATATATATATATATATATATATATATATAGATACAGATCCACTGTTCCCTGGCCAGGCCCATCCTGAACCCAGGAGCCGTGTGCGTACGCCCTCGTGGCCAGGCCAGGAGGGCGCGGCGCGCACACCGCTGCTGGATGCGGGCGGAGCGGGGCCAGGGAGCAGTGGAGCTGCACAGGTCTCGTCGCCTTGCCTGACGTCGCCTCCGCCGTGCTCCGGGCGATCTCGTGGGTGGGGTGGAGGTCCCCGCCCTGCTTGTCGAGCTCCTCTGATGTCCACTTTCCCGCCCTGCTTGGCCATCGCTGTTTCCGCCAGTGCCTCTGCGGAGATGTCCGCCCCACTCTTCTGAGGCGGGAGTGCCTACCCCACTCGTTTGCATCGCTCGGGATGTGTTTCCGACACGGTTGCAAGTCGGAAAGTCAATCAAAGTACGGCGGATCCGAAGTCAGGAGTCAGGGGGGGGGGGCGGGCGGGCGGCTCACTTGGAGCCTCCTTCGGGGGGGGGGGCTTTCGGTGCCACGGCTGGATTCCTCCCCTCGGAGTTGGAGCCGGGATGCCCCCCCCAAGGGAGTTCAGGGGGCGGTCTGGGGGTCGGCTTTTGATGAGGGCCCCAGTGAAGAATGGGGCCCTGAGCTGGGGGGCTTCGCCGTTCTCGGCTTCTCAGGACCCTACAGGGGGCCCTCAGAAATGCATTCAGGATGACAGTGTTCCTCGGGACCTTTTCTCATGCCCAACTGCGCTCAGACGAGATGACCCTGTCGGCCGCCAAGCTTCTTTTGCGAGCAGGCTCCACAGCATCACAGCGGGGCAAATGTCCACATGGAACGGGGATTATAGCTTCGAGGTTGGAGGATTATATTCATATGTAGGTACGCAAAGCTATAGATACAGCTATTCCCAAACCAGTGCTTGCACTTAGACTTAGTGATTCTCCGTCCGGGGGAAAAAAGAACTTGGGCATGGAGGATGGGCTGGCTGCTATGTCGCCGCCGTCGCCGCCCCGTCGCCGCCTCGTCGTTGCCTCGTCGTCGCCTTGTCGCTCTTCACAGCATCGATTGCACCACATATATTGCACAATACCGAGTGCAACACACATATTGCGCACCACAGGCTAGCCCACTTACATTGCACAGCAACCACTGCACCATATACATTCCGCAACACATGTTGCATCACATAGGTTGCAGAACACATGATGCACCACGTCCACTCCACCAGCTATATATATATATATGTGTATATATATACATGTGTGTATCTATTTATATATATATATGTATACATATGGTCGCCCCATCCCAGCACCCCCCAAACCACCAACACCACAAATCCATCATTGGTCGTTTGCTCCTTCTCATCCTCCTCCTCTTCCTCCTCCTTCTCCACACATGATCATACACCTTCTTCTTCCATGCATCCCATACCACTTCTTCTAAGCATCTGATCACCAGCACCCTTCTCTCTGCCTCCCAAAACCAAACAAAATACACAGTGCTTGGCGCCCTCGATGCAAGGAAACGCTGTGCATGTCTGTTTTTTTTTTTTTTTTTTTTTTTTTTTGATTTTTGGCTTTTGAGCAACGCAACACTGTGTACGTTTGTTTCATTTGTTTTTTTGTTGGTTTTTGCAAGCCCCCGTGCTCGCCGCGGTCTCCCTACCAGCACCCTTCCCTCTGCCTCCCAACACCCCAAAAAACACAGTGGCTGGCGCCCTCGATGCAAGGAAACACTGTTTTTTGTTTTTTTTGATTTGTTTTTCTTATATGTGAAACAACGAAACACTGGGTATGTGTTGTTGTTGGTTGTTTTTTGGGGGTGTTGCAAGCCCCCATGCTCGCCGCGGCCTCCCTACCAGCACCCTTCTCTCTGCCACCCAACGCCAACCAAAACAAGCATACACAATGTGTGGCGCCCTCGATGCAAGGAAACGCTGGGTATTTATGTGTGTTTGTTTTCTTTTGGTTTGTGCAACAACGAAACACTGTGTATGTGTGTTTGTTCCTGCTGTTTTTGGTTTTGCAAGCCCCCATGCTCGCCGCGGCCTCCCTCCCAGCACCCCTCTCTCTGCCTCCCAAAACCACCAAACAACAAACATACACAATGTTTGGCGCCCTCGATGCAAGGAAACTCTGTGTGTGTGTTTTTGTTGTTTGATTTGTGGAACAACGAAACACTATTTTTGGGGTGGCGGTGTGTTGCAAGCCCCCATGCTCGCCGCGGTCTCCCTCCCAGCACCCCTTTTTCTGCATCCCAAACCCCAAAGCACAACAAACACACACATACACCGTGCTTCGTGGTTTTACCAACAAAAAGCACAAGACCACAGTGTGTCCTTGCATCGAGGGCGCCACATACTTTTTGGGGAGGCAGAGACAATGGTGCTGGTAGGGAGGCCGCGGCGAGCATGGGGGCTTGCACAGCCAAAGGGCCCAACACACCAAACATACACCGTCTTTCGTTGTTCCGCAAAGAAAAAACACAAAACAACACATTACACAGCGTTTCCTTGCACCGAGAGCGCCAAACACTGTATATGTTTGGTTTGTTTGGCTTTGGGAGGCAGAGAGAAGGGTGCGGGCGACCAGATGCATGGAAGAAGTGATATTGGATGCATGGAAGAAGAAGATGTATGATCATGTGAGGAGGGGGATGAAGAGGAGGAGGATGAAGAGGAGGAGGATGAGGAGGATGAGGATTAGGAGGACGAAGAGGATGATGAGGATGAGGAGGCGGACGAGTAAAAGAAGGAGGGCGGAAGATGAGGGGTAGGAGAACGAGGAGGAAGATGAGGATGAGGATGATGTGCAGGATTAGAAAAGGAGAGGGAAAAGGATAGGTAGGAGGAGCAGGAGGAGGAGGAGCAATGAGCAATGAACAGTGCGCGGGGCGTTCAAATGAGTGGCTCAAACCTCACACCATAAACTGACAGCGGACTCTGCGCGACCCAACTTCGAGGGCGAGCGGGTCAAACTTTAAAAGAGGGTGTACACCCCTCTGGCAGGACCACTGCTGCCCCCGAACGACGGCCAACTTCGAGCACCGCGCCAGGAAGAGGAGCGAGTGAACTCTCATCTTTCGCCCTCCTCCATCCTCTCTCCTCCTTCTCCTCCTCCATCCTTTCCTCCACGCTGTCATCCTTTGAATGCGTACCTCAATTCAGCCTCTTGGGAAGGAGCGCAGGATGAAAATCATGACAGGGAGAAGGGAAAAGAGTATCATGAGAGGGAGCAGGAGGAAGATGAACATGAGGAGGAACAGACAGATGATGAGGATGAACGCCCCTCCCCCCCCAGGCTGTCGTTGGGGGTGCTGGGGGGGGGCGAGCATATGTGTATGTATATATATATACACACGTATACATTGCAATACATGCATCTTATATATATATATATGAACATCATTGCACCACGCATACTGCCCCACACAGTTTGCACAACATGTATTGCTCCCCAAAGACTGCACCAGTCATATTGACCAAATAGACTGCACCACGTAGACTGCATCATTTACACATATGTATATTTACAAACATATATATATATGTATATATACATGTGTATAAATAGATGGCACCACAGATATGGTAGATTGCACGACGTCGACTGCACAACATATATTGCTAGAAGCGCACATTTTGGGGTCCACGCTGGCTTACATGTCTGAGAAGCGGTGTGTGTGTGTGTGTTAGACTCACTTCGGGCTTCCAGGGGCCGCAGGAGAGACTCCAGGGATACCCCCAGTGCTCGTCCAAGCAGTTCCAGCCTCTCTGGAGCGAGCGCGCTGCATCAGAGCAGATACAATGGCGTGTGCCTCGCCGCTCCCTGTCGAAGTGACTGTGTCCGTCCGCGCCAGGTGGTTTCTTGTCCCTGCGGCCGCGGCCTCTTCTCCACGTGGGCCCGCCGGACCTCTGCCGGGTCCTGTTCGGTGCCCTCCTTGTTCCCCCAGTCTCGCTCTCCCTGCCCACCCCATCTTATTCGATCCTTGAGTTTGGGTGCCTGGAGAAGCTCTCCAAGAACCCAGACCCGAGGATTGATTTCTCGGACGATCCTGTCCGGGGGCACGACAATTTGGAAGCGAATCCCAGCCTCGGTGATGAGAAGCCGCCTGCAGGCACAGAAGGATACGGCGGGTCCATGTGGTGTCGGCTCGGCGTGCAAGGTTGAACGCCGCCAGTGGCTCGGAATCGGCCAGCACCGAGCGATCCATGCGGAGTCAGAAACCAATGCCGAAGTCGTCACGGCACGAATTTGGCGCGGAAAAGCGCCAAACACCTCAATCCTCGATGTCTCTTCGCCTCGGCCTCCTCAGCGCAGAGGCCGGGGGCGCCCGAAGCCACCGTGAGCAACACGTATGTCTATTGGGGAAGACGGGTGTACTTAGCTCTGTTTCCCTCTGTCCCCTTTCCGTCCTCCTTGCCCTCTCCTCCTCCTGTCCTCGGCTCCTCTGACCAGCCCGTCTTTGTACTCTGGTTGCGCTTCCTTGCCCTGGCTGCCAAGCGCGCAAACTTGTCCTCCAAACTTGTCCTCAAGTCTGCATGGCACAAGGCTTCAGTCAGTCTCGGCCTCCTCCTCCTCCTCCTCCTCCTCCTCGCGCCCGTGCGGGCATCACCCGCGAGCAGGCGGCCAGCGCCGAGCTGGCGGAGCTCGAGGGATCCCAGGCGGACTCGCCGCTCTGCCTGCACGAGGGGGAGCTCACGATGACGCAGGCGGGCCCCTCGCGCGCTAAGGGTCGATGCTCCACGGGACCTCAGGCGCACTGATGAGAAAACGATGCAGAGGTTTGCTTTCTATGTTTCGGGCCGCCTCGTCCTCCTCCTCGTTCCTCGTTGTTCCTCCTTCTCCTCGTCCTCCTCCTCCTCCTCCTCGTCCTCCTCCTTCTCCTCCTCATCATCATCGACGTTCCTCGCCAGGCCCCTTCGCGTCATGAGAAACATCCCAACGCCTGGTGTGTTGTTGTGTTCGGCCTCTGGGGTCCCTCGCCTGGCCCCAGGGCCGTCAACCAAAACGGCTCAGGATGAAGAGCCAGTCCCAGGGAGTGGGTCGAGACCTCCGGGGCTTCACGCTGTCGCCGGGCCCCAGGGCCGTCAGAGGATGTGAAGTCGGCCCTGTGGAGCGGGTGGGACGCCCCAGTTACATGAGATCAAATCATACAGACATTTCTGGATATGCGTTGCTCAAAACAGCAAAACTCTTTGGTTCCCGTGCTGATCCAGTTCCACGCAAGGCAGCGGATCTCTGCAGAGCGGCCTCTTGTCCGCGCGTGCCGCCGCGTCTGCTGGGGCCGCCCCGAGTCAATCTCCAGCGCCGAGACGGCAGGTTTACTGAGTTGTCGGCGTAAGGAGGCCAGTGTCGGGCCCCGGGGGTCATCGAGCTCAGGATGAATTTCGGGCCCCGCCCGAGTCAGGGGATCGCAAGCATTGGTCAAGGGGGCGTGGATTTGCGACGGGTCCCGTTTCCATGGGAAATCGCAGATTTCCGCCGCAGAGCGAGACGGCACCGGCCGCATTTTGGGAAAGGCACCTCCCCCAATCCATGGATTTGGCGACCGCGCGCCAAATCCATGGATCGCTTATCCATGTTTGCGATTCCCGATTCCTGTGCCAGCTTATCTGGCACAGGAATAGAAGATTACGAATTTCGAGCGCAGGAACGTGGAGCTTGTCTGTTCCTGGGCAAGTCTACGCCCATCTGGTAACAGATCTTAGGTCCACGCATCTCTGCAGTGAATTTGAGGGGCCGGGGCACTGATGTCCTCTTCTCACGTCAGAGATGTTCCGGCCACCCATCCTCCTCCTACAGCATTCCCGTCCCCACGTGCACGCAGGGTGGGTGCGTGCCGCAGCCTTTGATGTCTCACTTGTCGGGGCGCTCGCTTTGATTTGATCTTCACGCGCGCTCGATCTGTCGATCACACTCTGACGCGACGCTGCGTCATGAGCCTCGCCAGAGCCTCGCTAGGCAGTAGTCGAGTGACCATGACGAGGGAGCGGCGAATTGCAGCATGGCTCTGTGAATGCAGAGCGCGGTTTCGATCCGAAGGCGATCCCAATGTGACGGGAGAGGATTGCGAGGTTTCAACGGCAGGTTTCTAGTGCCGACCCTGGTGTGGAGCGAAGCCCTTGGTCATTGTGCGCTTTTCGGAGCCTTTGTTGTTTGGCGTCTCTGGGGCTTCTATGAGGTCCTGATTGGGCCTTTTGAACAATTGTTGGTGCCCTTTTAGGCCGTTTTGGGGTTCTTTTGGGCTGTCTTTGGGCGTCTTGAACAGCTTCGGCCGCCCGCGGCTCTGTTGGGAGTCTCTCGCGGTCGCCTTGGCGCGGGGCCGCGGGGGGAAGCGGAGGGGGGCACGGCCGGTCGGGATATGTGGGAGGGAGTTTTCGGGGGGAGGGGGGGGGCGTTGTCGGTCGGAAGAGGGCGGGTGGGCTGGGGGGAGCGGGAGCCTGCGGTCGGTCAGCAGGGGGGCACGGTCGGTCGGAATAAAGGAAGAGGGGGCACGGAGGGAAGGGGCGGGGTCACGGTCGGGCGGAATGAGGGGGGGGGATTGGGAGGAGGGAGCGGGAGCGCATGGTCGGGAAGGGGGGGGGCGCGGCCGGTCGGAATGCGGGGGGGGGGGTGCACGGGGGAGCGGGGGGCATTGTCGGTCGGAACAAGGGGAGGGGGGCCACTGGGGGGAGGGGAGGGGCGCGGTCGGCAGGAAGAGGGGGGGGGGGAACGGGAGGCCACGGTCGGGCAGGAGAGGGGGGGGGGGGCACGGTCGGTCGGAACAAGGAGAGGGGGGCCACGTGGGGGATGGGGGGCACAGCCGGTCGGCAGAAAGGGACAGGGGCAGGGGGGAAGGGGGCGGGGGGCCACGGCCTGGCAGCGGGGGGGGTGCACGGTCGGTTGGAATTACGGGAGGGGGGCAAGGGGGGCGCTGTCGGTCGGAATCAGGTGAATGGGTGCGGGAGGAGGGGGAGCATGGTCGCGCAGCGTGGAGGGGGGGGGGGCACGGTCGGTCGGAATAAAGGAAGGGGGGGGGGGGGCGGGGGGGGGCGGGGGGGCACGGTCGGGCAGGACAGGGGGTTGGGGGCACGGCCGCTCGGAATTAGGAGAGGTGTGCCACGTGGAACAATCAAAACGCTGAAATAAAAACCGTCTCGGGTTCGGAAGGGGTTCGCTGTTCCTAAAAGGTCATTCCGTGACCGTGCCACTAGCCTCCCTTCTACACCAAATTTCTTCGGGTGCCCCGAATGGGCCTCGTTCCATGTTCAGCGTTCCTTATTGCAGCAGTCTGACTGTAACCCTTCATTCGGATGCAACCCCTTGGAGGTTAAATTCTGACTTTGCCCTGGTCCGAAATCCGGCTAAATCCTGCTTGCTCCAGCCGGGTCCCGTTTAATCAATTTCAATCCAGCTCAATCCGCGGCCCCCACACTGGGACTGTATTTTCCTAATAGTTCTTCCGACGAAGACTTCACAGTGGTTGCCTCCTTACTTATTGCCGCAGCTTGAGTGCATCCCCGTCACCCTCATCCGTACGCTTTGGGCCCACCGCGCTCATCGCCGCGCCAGGCCTCGGGTCGGAGGGTGCCCACCCTCATCGAGCACAGAGAACCCTTGAACCTGATAACACGATTGAAGTCGTGACCTCACTGAGACTCCCCGTCTTCGCATCAGGTATCATGTAGTTCTGGGCGGTTTTGTTTGATACATTTGCAGGGGAAAGACCACCCCATCCCAAATGTTTCTGTTTCCACCGCCGAATATCCCGGGCGTGCTCCTGTCGCTCTTTGGACACTCCAGCATCATCTGGAGCGTCCAAAGAGGGGGAGAAACACGATAACTGTTCTCCTCAAGCTGATCTTACGCCTTCTTCTTGGTTCCCCAGGCAGTGGTTGTAATGTGGGGCGTCGCGTGTCATTCGACTTCTGGCCTCTGCCGCGTCGCATACCTCGATCATGCATCGGTTTGCTCGGGGGCGGCCAAGAGGGGGGTGATGACTTGGGAGGATCTCGTGGCGGGGGCCATGATCTCTCCCCAGATTTCATGGCGCCCCTTCCTGTGTCAAGACGTCCCCGGCCCCCACCCCCTTGGGCCGCGCACGTGCCGCCAGCCATGATTTTGCCCACGCCCCCTCGTGGGCGCCCCCCTCTCGGACGCCCCCGAGATCCGGGTGACAGAGAGGATGCCCCCGATGGGGCAGGCCCAGGGCTCTTCTCGAGGCTGGAGGCTCTGACCTCCCTCGCTGGCTTCCCAGACCCCCTCACGTTGAGAAAAAAAGTCGCGCATCGCGACGGGAGGCTTCTCGCTATGTTGGGCCTCGGGGAGCAATCACACGTCACTGGGACCATCAAACAACGATCCACTGCAGGATGAGAAGCTTGGTCCCAGGGAAGGGGTCCAAACCCCTGGGGGTCGACGTTATGACACAAATCCGGACGTCGGGTGTCCGGGGTCCCTCCTTGTTCTGGAGCGTGCGGTCCCCCCCCCCCTTGCTGCTCCAGGTCCGCCATGGCGCGCGCCGGCGGATGCAGAAGTCGGCGCGACGGGGAGGGGATGGGGTGGGAGAGGTCGGAGATCAGATGTGGGGCGAGCGTTCCTGGCTTCTCGCCCTCCCCTGGCTTCTCGCCCTCCCCCCCCACCCCCCCGAGCTCCGACGCACTGCTTCTCTCGAAACGTGGCCCCTGGACGCCCCTCGACCCTCTCCCCCGCCGCCGGCTCTGCCTCCCGGGTCTCGTCCTTGACGCTCCCGGGGCCTTCGGGCCCAGGGCTGCCAGGAGGGCCGGCGTCGTCGGGTGGTCCTGCGGGGATCCAGGCTCGACTCCGCCCTCCCGCAAGAGGCCGAAGACGCGACGCAGCACCTCCGCGCCGAGCCTTCTCCGCGCGCCTGTGGTTAAAGTCGGGCATGTCACGTCCCTCTACAGGAGGAATGTTCGAAGACAGTCAAAAGATCGTATGGGGACGATTTTTCTTCTAGTGTTGAATAGTTCGGAACATGTCTTGAATCCTTTGTACTTGTCCTCCAAAATCCGCCCGTAGAGGGGCATGCCCGACCCGAGCCTAGGGGGGGCCTGGCAGCCACTATGGCTGGAGTCTCGCCCTCGCCCGGGCCGCCGCGGGCCGCTCGATGGCCACGGCCGCCAGCAGCGGCCCGGGGGCCCGCCAGCTCGGTGGCAAACCCTGTGGGCCTGGTATGCCATGCTCCTTCCGTCTTCAGCGTCGACTCAGCGTCTGGGGGTCCACGAGATGTGCCGATTCGGCGTCGATTCAGCGTCGATTCAGTGTCGACTTAGCGTCGCCCTCGCGTCGCTTCGGCATCGATTCGCAAGAGCCGACAAGATGGTATGCCAAGAGGTCCGATGTCGCTGTTTTTCTTCAATGCGGGGTCCCCTGAAGTCTCGACCCATTCCCCAGGACCCGTTTTTCATCCTGAGTCGTTTTTGCCGAGGTCCCGAGTCTCGGCAAGGGCCCCCAGGGGCCGAGAGAACTGCGAAGCACCTCTGTCCTGCTTGTTCCAAAACGCTGGATCTCTGGGCAGATGGCATGGGGCATGGGAGGCTCCCGTGAGTTGCCACCGAACGCCGGACCTACGCGCTCGTGACGGACACCGACGCGGACGCGGCCAGCTCCTCGGACGAGTCGGACCCGGCCGCTTCGCCATGGCGTGCCTGCGGCCCTGGCGGGGTCGGCGCGTGCGCGGGCCTGGGCGCCCTGGCGCTGCTGGTCGTCG